GGAAACAAGGAAAGGGGCTTTATTTTCTTTGAGGGCATGGGAGAGAATGTGGGGAAGGGGGAGAAACTGATTTTGGGGCTCTTCCCTGAGATGTCAGGAAGGGTGAAAGTAAATTATGTCCTGGGCTGAGTTGGAGAGAAGGGGAGGTGGTCTGGGAAGATGGGTCTTTGTTTTAAGGGCACTGGCCATATTAGATGACCACCATAATGATTTTAGCGATTGATACTAGGGCCAGAACCTTTCAGTTCCTTTATACCTTTTTTCCTTCATCTCCTTTGCCACACACTTGCCTACTTTATGGTAGAGAAGGTATATTTAGCATCAGCCAGGAGGACTCAGTTGAACCAGTCTGCTTGTGTTGGCAACATGCAAAGCGCCCCCTCAGGAGCCTCCTGCCCGGCGGCGCAGATATGGGGGTTGACCTTCGCAGCCTCGGTGTCACAGGACAGCGCTGCTGGATCTGGTGCTTGCCGCCTCGGTGCACTCAGAGACACAGTACTGTCTCCTCTAGATTCTGCGCAGCTGACTCAGGGTCAGGGAAGGCGACGGCAGCGTGATCCGGCCTTTATCCTGGATGCTCTTCCCAGGGTGCCCGGCTGCTGGAATGGAAGGTGGGCAGCTGGCACCATTTTGTGGATGAGGGGTCGCCTTTCAGCCCTGCCTTCCTGCTCCTCTAAGTGTTCTGGGGTGCTCTGGCCAGGGGAGAAGCTTCCTTCAGAAGCTGCAGCCCCATCCTGGTAAAAGGTGCATATTTTGGCTTTTGCATCTGAGGCTTTCTGGTCTTCTATTTAATCAATAGCTAGTTTTATTTTTCCTATCTTAACTTTACCCCGTGCAGCGCAGGGATACTCTACCACTGAACTATATCCCTATGTTTTTGTTTATTTTTACCATGTAGGGCCAGTGCAGCGTGCGGTGCCAGGGATCGAACTCTGGCCCAGGTGCTTGCCTAAGAAGATGCTTAGTCTGCTGAGCTATCTCGCCAGCCCCCTATGTTTTTAAATTATGGATTTTACTGCTTTAAAATTTCTTAAAAGTGGAAGGCCAGGGAGATGGCTCAGTAGAATAAGCGCTTCCCTGGCAAGCACAAGGGCCTGAGTTCAATCCCCGGTTCGGCCAAAAAAGAAAAAAAAAAAAAAAAGGTGGAATATTTTAAGCACATGCCTATATCCCAATACTCAGGTAGGCTGAGGCAGGCGAGTCCTGCCTGGGAAACTCTGGGCTACCTTGTTTTAACATTTAACAAAGGGGAGCTCAGTGGTACTGGTTTGATCCCCAGTACTGCAAAGGTAAAATAAATAAATACACAAATGCAAACACACTATCCATTAAACTTTAGTCTTTTGTTTTTCTGATATGAGTAAGGGTATAAATTTACGTTAAAATAATGCTTTTGGGGCTCGGGAGATGGCTCAGTGGAATAAGCGCTTCCCTGGCAAGCACAAGGGCCTGAGTTCAATCCCAGGTTCTGCCAAAAAAAAAAAAGTGCTTTTATTTGAGGAACAATTTGTTTA